CCTGTCTGGAAGCATCTCTTCAGGCAGCAGGCTGGACATTTTCATATATAAGAGAGAGGACAATTATTATCAGAAGAAAAGCATTTGAAAACAATGTCCCCTTTCTGTGGTCTGCAAAAGAGTATCTTACAGCTTTCACAAGTATAGGCTCCATCATGGAAGCCATAAGCAAGATCCCCACAAACATCACAAGTAACTTTCTTAGTATCAATAGGAGTTGAAATACAGTCTGGTCTCTCAGGAAGCGTTACAGGAAGGGTGGATGAAACACTGACTTCTGTCTTTCGTAGAAGGATAACTGAGTAAGAATCCATTAATGTCTTTAGAGATAAGAGAAGAGAAAAGAAAACAATCAGCGATAAACTTTGGATGCTCATCTGGTAGCTAGCTTGGAGGTACATGTTGTACAACAATTAATGCATACCCAGAAAAGAATAATTGTGCATGAAATAGCTAAGCCCCATTTAAGAATCAACGCAAGAATTCCTCCACCCCGATAGAAAGAGGCAACCCAAGACCCCCAGGATGAAGAGTCCCACCACTTTGCACCACTGTAGGCACATGAGTCAGTTGTGCTATTCACTGAGTGTCACTCAGAATCCTCCGAAGTTCATTTATGTTTGCAATGATATCGCCTGAATGGTTTACATAAGAATAGCTAGATTGATTAATAACCGCACAGGCACCTCCCTGAGCAGCAGTCAGGATATTTAAAGCCATTCTGTTTTCCATTGCCAGATGAGCCAGAGAGTCAATTTCTGCTTGCAAATCTGAAATGGCAGCAGTGGTATGTTGAATGACAGCAGAGCTGTCTTGGGCAAGTCTTGGAACTCTCCAGTATAGCAGACAGATTCCTAACAGAATCTATCACTGCAAATGTACCTACACTAGGAATGAGGGTCCACCAGCCCCTCGCTTTGCCATAGGATTGCCATCTCCCCAAAGATTACTTCGCTTCTGGCAATACCACCATGCTCCCATGTTCCTGGTTGTTCTTATTCCTACCAGTCTTATAGAGTGATTAGTCACAGTCACCGGTGGGATCAAATAAGCTGTCCCACAAGTCCCATATCATCCTCATGGGAGGGAAGAAAAAAGCTACACCAGCACAGATTAAAAATTGTCCAGGGGTTACCAAACCCCATGGCAGTTCAGGAATGTTAACAGTTCCATTAGTAATGTTGCGTCCATTATAGGTGACAGTTGCAAAAGAAAAATTGTGATTGTCATGCAAACTTTTAGAAATGTATTTTCTCAATTTTCCAAGAAGACAATCTAAAGAGAAAGGATTTGCAGTAAGATCATTTGTCAAATTAGCAGGATTATCATAAAAGAATTCACTGGTTGAGTTTTCATAAGAAAGCTCATTAAGGGTCAGCAAGTGAATCAGACAGATATCTAGTCATGGAGGATTCAGTAATAGTTGTGAGAAAATTATTGCCAGTATTATTATTGAAGGTTGTATTATAACCAAGGTGTTGCTTAGGTATACTCTTTAATGAGGCAATAAGAATATCTGGCCCTTGTGTGGGCTCTAGCATGGATGTGTTAAGCCATCTGCAGGTGGCCATTCGGAGGAAAAAAAAAAAACAAACTTAGTGTCTATCACATACAGGCTACCTCCTCCTTAGAAAAAAAAATCTATATCTCCACAGACACTAATAACCATAGTTTCCTTGTCAGAGGAGGAAGACCTTCTGGGGTAGCAAAACACAGATGTATCGATTTGCTTCCAGAACATTATGTTGGAAGCACAAATAAGACTTCATCCTTTTCAGCCTTACAGTTAGTGGGTAGATACCTGTACAAAGCAGAGGCATTTAGGCCACAATTAGCATTGGAATGTATGTCAAGGGAGGCCTGTGTCTCTGACTAGCCTTTCTTTATCCCCATTTCATGGTGAAAAATAGTAAGAATGTTGGGGTTACTAAATAGCAGGCAGTTTCTATCCATTGGGAAGGAAATAAGGAAGCTGCCTTTACTTTTCCTGTGCAAGGGCAGATGTAATTTAAAGGGAAAATATCTCCATGGTAAGCATCAGGTGTAGCATTAAAAATACAACTACAGTATGATAGGGTCTTAATCCATCTAATGCCATTGTGAAATACAAAAGCAAAAAGCCGGTAAATGCTAAAATAATGAAAATCATCCATACCCACTTGGGCAAAGGTGATTCTTTTACATTTAAAAAAGTCTTATTAAGAAAGCCCTCAGAAGAATCCCCTAAGAACATTGATCAGAAAATGGCACAGGTTTTACGTGTGAACAATGGATCCATGAGTCCTTTTCTCTTATCTTTGGGGCTGTTGGAATTGTCAGCAGGACTTGGAATGGTCTCTTCCAGGTAGGTTCTATTCCATTAGTCCGATGAAAATTCTTAATGTAAGCATAGTCACCAGGTTGAAAGTCATGGAGGGAGAAGTCCAGTGGCCCAATCTGTACCATAGTTACTATTTGCTGAAGTTCCTTCAGTCTATGCTATAACTCCTGAGTGTAGGAGGCAACAAAAGTATCCCCTCCAAGCAATGAGATGTACACTAAAGAAAAAGGTTTTGATTTTATAGGAGCGTGTCCAAAAAGCATTTCAGAAGGGGACACATGACTTTCCCCCTTGGTCTACTTCTGAGATGGAAGAAAGCCAAAGGGAGAACATCAGGCCATTTCAAATGAGTTACAGAACACAGTTTTCCAATAAGGGATTTCAATTACTTCTTCATATGCTCAACCTGACCAGAACTCCAGGGATGATACAGAATGTGGAATTTGGGAGAGATTCCAAGGTTAGAATACATTTGGGAGAGGACAGAGTCAATAAAGTGAACTCCTCTATCAGAGTTAATGAAGGCAGGTGGGACATATCCAGGCATAATTTCTTTAAGCAATGTTTTAATAACAAAAACAGCAGTGACTTTTGAAGTAGGGAAAGCTTCTACCCAGTGAGCCAATTGATCAACTATAAGCAAACAGTGTTTTAGATATCCTGCCTTGGGCATGTTTATAAAATCTATTAAGTTTATAAAGTAAATGCTCAAAAGGGGTATGAGCAAGGGGGTGGCCGCCAAAAGCTGTAGTCTTAAAGGCGTGTTGATTAAAGGCCAGACAGATGGGGCAATGTTAAGTTATACAGGCAGTAACTGAGGTGATACCAGGAGCAACCCACTCACACCTAATTGAATCAACTATTCCCTGTGTGCCATAAAGACCACCAGAATGAACTGAAAGACATCTTTCGTAACTCTTGAGAGTGTATTTTCAGGTCAAGGTTTCAGGAAATTTTTCAAGAAAATGAAAGGAGAGGAAGTAGAGGCATTGAGGATAGATGGCTTTTTCAAGGAATTTAGCTGAGTAAAGGAAGGAGAGATATAAGATGATAGCTAGCTGGGATGGAAGGATAAAGTTAGATTAGGGGGGTTGAGGATGGAGAAGACATGGATATTTTATTTTTCAGGCAGTAGGAAAGAAGCCAGTAGGCAGAGAGAAATGGAATATTAGGAAGAGAGTGGTAATGATAGTGGTAGCAATTTGCTAGGGAAGGCAGGAAGAGATAGAAATGAAAGTATATGTAGAAAAAATGACCTCATCAGGGAGAAAGCCAACAAAGAATGGAGTGAAGGAGGAGATGGAGGGAGTTGATGTCAGAGGAATGTGAAATGAGGAGAGAGGAGAGAGTTTTTGGTGAACGACTCCAAATTTTTCAGTAAAGCATATATGACATGAAGTCCTTAGTTGGGAGGATGAGGAAGTACCAAGGGAGATTTGAAGAGAGAAAAAAGAGTTGGAATAGTGCTTAACACAGGGCTTGGAACACAAGAAGGTACTTGATGTAAATGCTTTTGTTCAGTCGTGTCCAACTTTGTGACCCCATTTGGAGTTTTCTTGGCAAAGATACTGAAATGGTTTGCCATTTCCTTCTCCAGCTCATTTTACAGATGAGGAAACTGAGACAAACAGGGTTTAGTGACTTGCTCAGGGTCACACGGCTAGAAAATGTCTGAGGCTGGATTTGAACTCACAGAGATGAGTCTTCCTGACTCCAGGCCTGACACTCTATCCACTGAACCACCTAGACATCCCTTAGGGAATGCTTGGTAACTAGATAACCACTGTGGTGAGAGGGATAGAGAATCTATTAGGGAGAAGTAACAGCAACAAAAGAAGTATTGCCTTGCAGCAGTGAAAAAAAACAGGTGAAATTATACAACAAATGTGTAGAGGAACCAATCAGCATTTTTTCATTACTCCCTCAAGCTCTGTTTAGTAGCACATGTACAGGAGCAAAGGAAGCAGATAGTGAGGCTAATCCAGGGTTAGGACTTGACAAGCCATGATCATCAAAAGGAAAAGGAGTAAATGGATTTAAGAGAAGATATTGACAAGTTGAATTGGTTTACCAAAGAGTAAAGCCTGGAAAGGGAAGAGAGGGGTGGCATCATGTGGGCCTGGCCTCCGAGCTCTGTGGCAGCCATAAACTGGCCTCTTCCCGCCCCACCTTCAATACAAACAAACCCAACACCATTTGGAAGATGGATAAAGGAGTCTTCATCATAGGATGAATTCCAAAGCCAAACAGACATTTTTAAAATTATCTACTATTTTTAGATTATCTTTCCCACTGCTTCTTCCTGTTTATAGAGTTCTTATTGGCAGATATGGAGTAAAGAAGTGTATGGTGTAGTGTCAGGGAAAGAGCAGTAGACTCGGAATTAAAAGACCTGGGTTTGGATCTGACCTCTGTGCATATACAAGCTGTTTGACCTTGGGTTCTCAAAACCTCAACTTCCTAATCAACAAAAGAGGTTTAGCACTTCTTACCGCACAGGGTTGTTCTAAGAAATGCATTTTGGAATAATGAAAGCTCTTTACAAATATGAAGTTTTAAAGCTCTATCTCTATGTATGCTAATATTATCCTTATTAATTGAGGTTGGGGAGCTGGATCTAACCCATTCTTAAGGAAACAGAGTAGACCCTGGGCAGAGAGACCACAACAGAATTGCAGCTATGGATCCCCAGCTGGCAAACAGTCCTGAGAAAGGACTCTGTCCCATCTGCCAAGAGCATCTAAGGGAGCCAGTGAGCACTGACTGTGGGCACTTCTTTTGCCAACTTTGCCTCATCCAGCAAGCTATAAAGGCCTCAGATGGGGACATCCTGAACTGTTCTGTTTGCCGGAAGCCCTGGTCTCCGAACATTCTAGGGGCAGGCTACTCCTGTGAGGACCACCAAAAATTGGTGGGCTGGTTCTGTGAAGAAAAACAACTTTTCCTGTGTTCTCACTGCCGTACATCTCCTGAACACCGAACCCACCATGAGCTATCCATTGATATAGCCATCATCCACTATAAGGTAAGTCCGTAAGAGCCAATCATCTGACTCTCTGGGACATTATCCTCTTCTGCACCATTTTCAGAGCATACAGTATCCTTAGTCCCCCAAGTCACTCTTACTTTTATCATATTCATTATTTCTTTCATGTCCTCCTAATTGGAATATTCTTCCTTGAGTCTAACTTATTTCCTTCATACTGCACTGTCCACAAAGGTGAAAGAAAATGTTTGCCCTCCTTCCCTTGGGCTCTGGTCCATTTTCACCCACATGTAAAAAGCTAGGTGATAATACCACTTCGATTTTGTATAGTGTGTTTCAATTTTCACAAAGCAGTTTCCTTACAAAGAGCCTCAGAGGTTCCCTTCAGTTCCCAATGTATGACAGTCATTTATTCATTCAATTAACATTTTTCCCAGTACCTACCATGGGTAAGACTCACATTTCTAAAGCACCTTAAGATCTCAAAGATGCTTTCTCCATTAAAGAAAAAAACTCCTGTGAGGGAAGTAGAAAAATAAAAAGTATTATACCCATTTTAAAGATGAAGAAACTGAGCCCCAGGGAGGTTATGTGATTTGCCTGTTTTCACACAACCAAGCAGAGACAACACTAGAGCCTAGGTTCCTAAGACAATAAATTTAGAGCTGGAAATGATGACTAATCCAAGTCCCTCATTTTCAGATATAGAAACTAAGACCCAGAAATGTTAAATGTCTTGTCCAAGCTCACACAGGTAATAAGGAAGAGAACCGGGGTTGGAGCAAAGGGCCTCTGATTCTCAATCCAATATCCTTTTCCCCAAACTGCACTATTCTCCAGCAGCTTATGACCCTACTGGGTCAATAAGACAGGCATACAAATAACTATAGTACAAGATAGAATGTGTTAAATACATAGGAAAGATTCATACAATGCTTTTAAGGATTCAGAAGAGGGAAAGATCACTTCTAAGTGAGGCAATCAGGGAAGCCTTCATGGAAGATACGCCATTTAAGCTAGGTCAAGGAGGATGGGTAGGATTTCAACAGTAGAGATTAGGTTGGGGGAGAGGGCATTGCAGTCAGAGAATATAGTTAGGGACACACTTGCTGAAGGAAAAATATTGTCCTGTCTATTAACCCAGTGAGAGATAACCTGGAAAAAGTAGATTAGGGCAAGGTCACAAAGGGTTTGGAGTCAGAGCAGTGTATTTGGAATCAGAAAGTCTAGGTTAAAACACCAACTCTGTCATTTATTATCTATGTGACCATGGTCAAATCACTCTCTCCCTCTCTTCCAGGGATTCCGTTTCCTCCTCTTAAAACAAAAGGGTTGGATTAGATGACCCTCAGGGTCTCTTCCAGTTCTAACATTCCATAAATACAATGAGATAATTTCATGAATGAAAAGCTAAGAAGTATTTTCCTCTCCTTGAATGGATATCTGTTCAAGAGGTGACTTTGACTAAAAAATTGGGAGGTTAGGGTTCAGAAAGTTGACACTGAACTCCTTCTTTTGAGTAGATGTACCATTCCCTTAATAATTACAAAGAAGTGCCTGTCTCCTCAGGAACGGATCCACCGAAAAGTCAGAAAGCTCCGGAAGTTCTTAGGGGAACTTTGCCACCTTCCCGAGGAAAAGGGAAAACTCCAGACTCTGTTGGTAGGTCCCCAAAACCTTAACAAGAAACATCTCTTATGTACATAAGTTTACTTCTTATGGCATGACTTTGAGGGCAAATGTATTTCTTTGAACATGAAGGTGTATATTATAGTGTAGGGGTAGAGGAAATCTGTGCTTGTGTTCATGTTTTGTGATTTCCATCTATCTATTAGTCAATAAACATTTATGAAACACCTACTATGTGCCAGGCACTATGCTAAGCACTGAGGATACAAAGAAAAGCAAAGACAGTCTCTGCTCTCAGGAGCTCATAATCAAATAAAGAAACATCACACATAAAACAAAGCTGAAAAGAAAGAGGGGGGTACTTGTGAAGCGGCAAGTGCAACCAGGTGGGAAATGATGATGGGAGGGAGAAGGATACATAGCACATGCATAGAGGTAATATTACCCTGTTTTACGGATAAAGAACTCGAGACTCAGAGAATTAAGCTACTTACTAATGATTATAGAAAGGAGATCAAAGAGAGGTGGCATGTGTTCAGTCTGTGGGTTACATGTCTCTCAGGAGCAGAAATGGGGTAATTAGAGTTGATATTATATATGGAATAGGGACTAGACCTGTGATTTCATTGGCATAGGAAACTTTCAAATGGAGGAAAGCCTCCACTAATGAAGGTGGGCACCTTCTCTCAAATCAGCAAGCATTTATTAAGTGCCTACTGTATGCCAGGCCCTGTACTAAGCACTAGGGATACAAAAAAAGACAAAAAACAGTTGCTGTCCTCAAGGAGATCATAGTTTAATGGAAGAGACAACATACAGACTAGGTACAAACAAGATATGTACAGGATAAACTAGAGACAAAGGAAAACACTAACATTAAGGGGAATGGGCAAAGGTTTCCTGTAGAAGATGAGAATGTAGCTGGTACTTAAAGGAAGCCAGGCAAGCTAGGAAGTAGAGATAAGCAGGAACAGCATTCCAGGCATGGGGTCAGCTAGTGGAAATGTCCCAAATCGGGAGATAGAGTGTCTTGTGTGAGGAAGAGCGAGGAAGAGCAAGGAAGCCAGTGGCGCTGGATCATAAAGTATATGGCAGGAAGTAAAATGCAAGAGATGGGAAAGGTTGGAGGGGAGGTGTCAGATCAGGACTTGAACCCACGTCTCCCTGTTTCTGAGGTCACCTCTTCATACATGATGACATGCTGCATCACCTGATGTTCATGTAGCATTCTATTCAAGTTGTCTCATTTGATTCTCATAGTAACCCTGTGAGACCAGCAGGGCTGGTGTCCCCATTTCATACAAATGAGGAAGATACAAGTCAGAGAGCTGAAGTGACCACACAAGGACACTTCACTGATTCCAAACCCATTGTTTTTGCCAGTGAACAGCTGCCTGATGCAATTGTCCCAGAGGAGTGATAGTGAGGCTGAGGGACCTATCCTTTTCCATGGCTCTCTTTCCATCGCCAATTCAGATTCTTGATAGTCACTTTATCTCCTCTCCTCCAGGGCTGAAAGATGAACTCATTTTGCGTTCCTTAAGCTCCAGGATTTTCTTTTTCTGCAGAAACAGATAGATTCAGAAAAGCATAGGCTGAAGGCTGTATTGGAGAAACAACAAACAGGGGAACAGTTGGGCTCTCCCCTTCAGCAGTGGCTACGTGGGCTGAATAGCATCTCAGAAGAGGTGAAAGAACTCCATGACAAAATCTCTGAGGCAGAAACCTATCTGAATGACCTGATCACTGAATTGGAGAAGACATCTAAGGAACTGAACATCACCTTGCTAAAGGTCAATAGCTTGCCCCCAAATTAGGAACCTCTGAAGCACTACAGCTATCTCCTTTTTGTCTCTAAGATTTGTGTGATTCTCCCCAGTTACACAGAGTGATACTGGAACCCAGAAGTGACTCTGTGACTTGCCCAAGGTCACACAGCTTATCTGTAATGTAAGAGTAGAATGGGACATGCAGGAAGAAAGAAAATAAGGAAAAGAAAAATGCATTTATTAAGTACCTGCTGTGTACCAGGCACTGTGCTAGGTGCTTTATAAATATTGTCTCTTTTGATCCTCACAATGACCCTGGGAAGTAGTTATCATTGTCCTCATTTTACAGTTGAGGAAACTGAGGCAGACAGAGGTTACATGATTTGCCAAAGGGCACACAGCTAGTAGGTGTCTGAGGTCCAATTTGAGCTCAGGTCTTCCTGATTCCAGGCCCTGCATTCTCCCCATTGTGCCACCTACGTGGCCTCTATTCCTCATAGCCCAATGAGGAGACTGACCACACCCTGTTTCCCTCAGTTTGGAGAGGTAATTCCTGAGCTAGATGGCCTGGGAATGGAAATAATCGTCTCCTATGTTCCTAAGGATGTAGATGTAACCCTTGGGTGGGATGGTAGAATGGACATAATATCTGGAACTGAATTCCTGTTATTTTCTCTTTTTTCTCCTAGAGTGTCAGAGATTTATTGAACAGGTATGGAACTTCATTTTCTCTATTTCCCCCCTTTTCCTTTGGACTCATACACAATTGTTCATTAAACACATACAGAAAAACACAAACATACAGATATATGGACAGACACACAGGTGTATAATAATATACATACAGACACACAATTTCAATATAATTTGCATGTGGATCACCAGAATCTCACAAGCCCCCAGTATGGTTACCTCTACTAGTCAGTCAAAGGACACAAACAGTTTAAAGCAATGACATTTAATGAAATAACATAGAAAAACAAGTAGCAATAAAACATAAACCTGGAGCATATTCTCCCACAAATACATACATAATCAGTGGGAAGAGTGGACATGCACAAGGAATTTGCATAAAGGGGTATATACATAGTGAACATATTTGACCAAAATGCAAGAATGGAGAGGGATGACTCATGCCTCTTACACAATAGGACCACTGATGTCACTGATGTCTTCTGGTGATACCAATGATCTTCTCCTGACAAATCCTCTCTCCACCACTCCAAATTCTTCATGTAGCATGTACTCTCTGCCAGATGCATAATCTCTGCCAGATGTGTAGTCTCCACTGGGCATTGCTTCCTACTGGTCCCATGACTACCATTGGTTACTGCCAAGGACAACTCCATTGGGCATGAATGAGTTGGTGGAGTTTCTCCACTCCTAGCTTCAAACTTCAGCTCAAGACCTTAGGTGGGATTCTATCCCTTTCTTAAGAGGATGAGTGGCCTCTGCATTGCTTCTTTAATTTTAAGTCCATGGGTTTTGCAAGGAATGAGGAGATGTTAATGCTCTTTCAGAAATGCAAAAACTCTTACCCACCCAGTCATTAGACAGGAACAGAGTGATGGGGATGGAAATCTTCCCAGAGTAAAGGGGAAAAAACTTTTCCTACTATTTTTTTTTCTGAAGCAGTGGTCTATGTTTCTTAGAAACTTGTCTAGAAGAAGCTTTCCTCTCCAGGATTTTTCTTACCCCAGGATCCAACATCTCTGAAACACAGAGCAGGGCTTTACCCAACTCCCTAGTGATCTCAGGTTTAATTCTTTTTTTTTTTTAAACTACATTTCCTAGCCATTGTGGTTTGAATCTGTCCTAAACCCTAGCTGAACATAGTTTCATATGCCTGTAATCCCAGACACTGGGGAGGTTGAGGCTGGTAAGATCTCTTGAGCTCAGGTCTCTTGAGCTGCAGTCAGCTATGCTTATCAAGAGTTCAGTATTAATACGGTGAGCCCCTCAGAGAGGGGGAAGGGGCACCAGGTTGCCTAAGGAGAGAAAAAAACAGAATAGGTCAAATCTCCCGTGCTGATTAGTAGTGGGATCAGGCCCATAAGTACTAACTTCATTTCTAATCTGGTAAAGATGGAGAGAACCAGTCTTTCAAACAAAAAATAAAATGCTCCCTAGTTTAGAGATAGAAAGTCTATATGACTCCCTGCTTAATTTCCTGTAGTTAAATTAAGCTAGCCACTGTTGCAATATATCTAGATTCTTCTAGTGAACTGCTTAGGGATCTGGGAGTCAGGGTCATCCCTATTTCTCAGTTTTTGTTTTGTTTTGTTTTTATTAGGCAATTAGGGTTGTGACTTGCCCAGGGTCACACAGCTAGTTAGTGACAAGTGTTTGGTCTGAAGCCGTATTTGAACTCAGGTCCTCCTGACTTCAGGGCTGGTGCTTTATCTACTGTGCCACCTAGCTGCCCCTATTTCTCAGTTCTAAAACTTTTCCTATACCACAAAAATTAGTAGGAAAGGGGAAAGCATGGAAACAAAGCTAAACTGAGGGGGAGAGATCATTACTTATCCCTTACTTAATTGCATTTATGGATGAGCATCAACAGAGCTTTTTCAGGCCTTGAGCTTCCCTTACTCCCATTCATGAACAATTTGCTCCCATGTGCTTCTCCTCCAACAGTGAATTGTCATGGAGCACACAATTTATTCTTTTTTTTTTTTTCCAGTGGTAAAGATTTTATTCTTAAATCCTAGGAGTTATATCACTTTTGTGAATTTATTCAAATAGGTACATTACAGCTGTTTGGCTCATAGTTTCCAAATTCAAACTTGATAGAAAAAATTTAACCCTGTTCTGTAATTTTTATCAAAATTTTGCCTAAATACAACAACTAGGGCTAAGGACTCACCAAGGAAAGGGCTCTCCTTCCCGTTCTCCCTCTCCATCTAGGGCCACTGAAATCCTCTCAGATTCTCCAAACTGGAGTCTGGGGTCTCCATACTTAGCAAGAGGATGGAGCTGGAGCGGGGGAATGGCATTGTTATCAAGGAGCCAAGAATAGAGACCCCCTCACCAACATAGAGTGGGGACATGCAATTTATTCTCTATCTATACTACACTACTACATAAAAGGTGGGGCTTGTTGTTGTTCAGTTGTTTCAGTTGTCAGACTCTTTGTGACCCCATTTGGGGTTTTCTTGGCAAAGATAATGGAATAGTCTGCCATTTCCTTCTCCAGCTCATTTTACAGATGAAGAAACTGATGGTTAAGTGACTTGCCCAGGGTCATACAGCTACTAAGTGGCTGAGGTCAGTTTTGAATTCAGGTCTACTTGACTCCAGGCTCAGCATTCTATCCACTACGCCACCTAGTTGCCCAAAAGGTTGGTTAGCCATCTATAAATTGTATAACCCAATATAAAAACCCAAGAATTTTCTCTCTTTCTAGGAGTGTTCCAGGAAAACTATGCTACCCAGAGGCCAACTCTTCTGTGTTAGAGCAGAAAGTAGGAAAGCTGCTTCAACAGACGTCCTCATCTGTGAACGCCCCTACCTCAGAACTGTTTGACTCTCCTCTCTCTCCTCCACCATCCTCCTCCAACCAACTTCCAGGCTGGACTGATTCTTCCTTGGCACTAGCTCCTGGGCCTGTCCCTACGTCCCTCCCTGATTCCTGACCCACTTACACTTGGCCTATGGCAATAAGTTCCTTCTTAGACTCCTTTCTCCTTACCCTGTGACTCCCACCTACAGAGATCAAGATGGCACACATCTTCAGGGTTCTTAACTACCTCTCCTGCTGCTGAGAAAATAATAGTAGCTACCAGTTACTTTCCCCCCACCATCACCAGCAGCTTGGAAATGAGAACATCCTGGTTGCTTAAGGGCATATGCAGCAGACATTAGTGGTATTTAATGTAGAGAGAAGAGCACTAAATTTGTAGTTGGGGGCCTTAGTTATAGCAGGGGTGACCATGGAAACCCTTGATTGATTTGATTAATCTCGCCCTGGTTCCACCACATGAAATTGTGGCCAAGAAGCCTTGTTAGTTACCAGAAGCACCTCCAATCGAGCTCAAAATGCATGCTTGACACCTTTCTGGGAAGACATAGTAAATTCCTTATTGGTCCTCAGTGGCTAGAACTCTCTCCTGAGGATTGACAGAGGCCCAGCAGAATAGATATATGTAGGAAGAGCACCTCTCTCTATGACCTGTGAAAAATCCAAAGAAAAATTGCTCCAACTTATCCTTAAGAAATTCTCCTAGCACTTTCTCTACCTTCCAGCAAAAGGGGGCAGGGGCGGGGAGACAAAGGGATTTCTCTCCTCTACCTGAATTGGCTTTGGCATCTTCCATCATAAATACACAGCAGTGACTAGTGACCCTTAAAGACAGACATTTCCAGCCTTGATGATTACCTTGTGAGTTAAGAGCTCTTGATCCAGGCATCAGACAATCAGAGAGAGTCTCTACCAGTTCACTGTTCAGGGAAGAACATCATTCCCAGGACAATCCTGCACCGAAGAACCATCAAAAACCATGCCTGAGCTGGCCAGAAATCTGAACCTTGACAACCCTCCATAACAATTGTTGTGAGTTGCTGGAGCAGTCCAGGTCTGTTATTAATGTGAACTCTCTGTTCAGCAATCCCACAAAGGGTCTTTCCCTTCCAGGAACAGCATATAAGCATAATGGACTATTTGTTATGGTTTGAGTTATTTGTTTGTTTGATGTTTTTGTATTTGTTTATGTGTACCTGTGAGTTCTTTGCATGTCATGTAGCTTCTGTGGTAGAGGAAATAAACCATTGTCCTATACCTGATACCTGTACTGTATATTAAGTGCTTTTGTGGGAGAGTTCTTTGTTACTAGTGATTGGGAAAACCTTATAGTGTCTTTGAAATTTCTCTGGAGTTTTATTCTCTATGAGATTCAGCTTTCTCATCTATAAATGGAAATTTTTACTTTATTTAGCTCACAGAATTGTGAAGATTAGATGAGAAGCTATATGTGTAAAGCTCTATAAATGGTAAATTACTATGCAAATAGAAAGTATGTTTATTAATTCATTTCAATTTAACAAAAATATATGACCCTTATACTTGATGGGAGGCACTGGGCTGAGCAATGAAAATACAAAGACACAGATGCTGTTCTCAAAGAGCTGCCAATATAATTGGTGGAAAGTGGAAGGAGACGTTATACATCCAGGCAAAGTACAATGAAAAACTGAGGAGGACAAAATCACTTTTAAATAAAAAGGTAAATGATGGAGGATATGGCAACTGAGTTAGGCCTTGTTGGAAGGCAAGGAATTCAATGGATAGATATTTGGGGAGTGTGGGAGTCCATTCTAGGCATAGAGATCGATATAAGCAGAGGCATAGAGAAGAGAGCAGACAGGGTAAGGAGGGATATAACAGAGAATAATGCAATTTAGCCAAAACATGGAATATGCAGAATTGCATGAGATAAGACTAGAAAGGCTGGCCAGATTATAGAAGGCCTTGAATTCTAGCATCAAGGGAGGAATGAAATAAACAATGTCACCAGAAGAATACTTGAGCAGTGATTCATGTAAAGAATATATAAGCAAGGGCAGAGACTGAAGAAAGAAAGATCAAGGAGGAGGTTCTTAGAATAATCTAGGTAAGAAGAAATGATTACCTAATCTAGAATAGTTAAAAGTTGGAATAAAGAGGAAGAGATAGAATAGCAATACTGCCAAGAAGAATTGACATAATTACTCATTTATGTGCAAAATATCTTCTCAGATAGAATGTAAGCTTCCTGAGGGCAGGGACTATTTCATTATTTTTTTCTATATATCCCTAGCACCTAACCCAGTGCTGGTTCATAGTAGGCACTTAATAAATGCTTATCAATTGATTGATTTATTGAATCAACAAGTACTTACTGAACCCTCTATAACAGCAGTTCTTAAACTTTTTGACTTAAACTTTTGACCCCTTTACACTCTTAAAAATTATTGAGAACCCCAAAGAGGACCCATATAAACAAAAAAAATTTTATATAGGTTATAACAATATTTACCATATTAGAAATTAAAACACACATTTTAAAATGTGTTAATTTTTAAACAATTTTATTACATATTGATACAGATAACTGTTTTCCAAAAAGGTGGCATCATTTTGTATATTTCTACAAATCTCTTTTAGCACACTAATACATTGTTGGTGGAGTTGTGAACTGATCCAACCATTCTGGAGAATAATTTGGAAATGTTGGGATTTGTTCTGTAAAATTTGGATTCAGTCAAAAGGTCACACTTAAGGATCTAGAAGGCCACATGTGGCCTCAAGGCTATAGGTTCCCCACCCCTGCCCAAAGAGATCATAAAAAGGGGAAATGATCCAAGTGTACAAAAATATTTATAGCAACTCTTTTTGTGGAGGTAAAGAATTGGAAATTTAGGGGATGCCCATCAATTGGGAAATGGCTGAACAGGTTCTGGTATGTGAATATAAAGGAATACTATTGTGCTATAAGAAACGATGAAATGATGAGGAGAAATGATGATGAAAAAAACCTGTAAAGACTTACATGAACTGATACTAAGTAAAGTGAGCAGAACCAGGAGAACATTGTACACTGCATCAGCAACATTGTGCAATGATTATCTGTGATGGACTTAGCTCTTCTCAGCAATGCAAAGATCCAAGACAATTCCAAAAGACTGATGATGGAAAATGCTATCCACATCCAGAGAAAGAACTATAGAGTCTGAATGCAGATCGAAGCATATTATTTTCATTTTGGGGGGAGTTTTTTTTGTTGTTTTTTTCTTTCTTGTGGTTTTTCCCTTTTGTTCTGATTCTTGTTTCACAGCATGACTAACGTGGAAATATATTTAACATGATTGTACATGTATGCCCTATATCTGATTGCTTGTTGACTTGGGGGGTGGGGGGGGGACAAGAGGAAGGGAAGGAGAAAAATTTGGAGCTCAAAATTTTACAAAAATGAATGTTTAAAGCTACCTTTACATGTAATTGGAGGGGGAGAATAAAATACTATTAAGAAAAAAATAACATAAAATAAATTATCTTTTGCAATCTTCAGTACTTCAATCTGTACTGTCCTGCCCATGACAAGTCAAGTATTTTTTCTTCATGGTAACAGCAGCTGGGTTGTTTGTTGTTGTTGTGGTTGTTGTTGCAGCTTGCTGTTCATTTGTTTTTGTTGGCCTCCTCATTCTTATTCCAACTTCAAAAAACCCTGTAGAAGAATTAATAACAAGTTCATCCACTTGTAGGTCCTTCCAGAGACCTTTGCTTGTTTTCTAAGGGGTCGATTACACAGTTTTACAGCAATAGTTTGTCAGTTCTTGACATTTTTTGTTTTGTTTTCTACCACACTTTCCTTTGATGCAATTGATCTTGTTTCCTATTGACGCTGAATTGTTCTGGTTGCTGCTATCTTTTGTATCAGTCTACCTTTTCTAGGTCTTTTTTGTATTTCTGCTTCCCTTTGCTCCACTGGCTCTCTGAGCAATTCTTGTTGCCATTTCATGTTTATTTTGGTCTGCTCATCTTTGGAATAGTAATTGTAATAGCAGTTGTAGGAATGACAGAGAAATTGATTTTTTTTTTCTTGAAAAATCTTGCATTGCCATCAGAAAGTATGTTTACCAAGACCCTCAGCATTCTCGTTCTGGTTTTTGGTGCTTTTTTAAAAAAAAATATATTGTCATTAAGCTTCAACAGGTGGTATCTCAAAGTTGTTTTAATTTGCATTTCTCTAATCAGTAGTGACTTAAAGCACAAAAAGGTAATTTTTGCTGATGAAACTTACTTTTTTACTCAAGGCTTTGCCAAAAGAACCAAATTCTAAACTTCCACCAAATTCCCCACCAAAGAACCAAATTCTAAACTTCTCCAGCCAAATGGAAATATTCCAGAGGGTGCTGATTGCTCCATAATAGGAGACTTTGGCAATGGGGATAAATCAGATGTGCACAACAACAAGAAAAAGAAACCTCAGATTTGTTGAGGTTGGATAGAGGTCTACAGAGTTTTTATACATCTTGTCTTACAATCCATTTCAATTCCATCCAGATATAAAACCTTTTTGTTCAACTCCAACTCTCATTGAGTTTTATAGTATCAATTTGTTTTCATCAAATGTATTAAGTGGTATTGTTGAAAAATTTCATGATGTGGTTAAGGGTCCAAACTGATCCAAACTGAAAAGAACATGATCAATCTGAATAAGATCGTATTTTTCTTTTTTCCAATGTCACTTCATTTTTTCCAAGAACCAAAGGACCATCTAGATTGATTATAAATTCCTTTATGGCAGAGATCACTTCTTATACCTCTTTGCATCCCCCATTGCCCAGCTGAGTGTCTTGCACAGAGTATGTGTTCAATAATTTTTGGGGGGGCTAGGCAATGGGATTAGGTGACTTGTCCAAGGTCACACAGCTAGTAAGTGTCAAGTGTCTGAGGCCAGATTTGAATTCAGGTCCTCCTGACTCCAAGGCCAGTGCTCAATCCACTGAGCCACCTAGCTGCCCCCCTACTACTATCTGAAGAAGTATACATAAAAGATGAATGCTATCACAAGATGAAACCATATCAAAACTATCGTTTATGTCAAATAACTCAAACACCACTCTATAGTACCTTTATTTTATATGTACCTTTATA